TTCCAGTGTAGAGCACAATTTTCCAGTTATAGGTTGCTTTTATATCTTGGCTGTTGCAAATAATGCTGCTGTAACATTGGGGTTCAGGTATGTTTTCGAATTGGTATTTTCATTTTCTTTGGATATATACCCAGGAGTGGAATTGCTGGATCATATTGTAGTTGTATTTTTCATTTTTTGAGGAACTCTAATACTGTTTTCTGTGGTGGCTGTACCTATTTGCACTCGTACTCACAGTGTAACAGGATTCCCTTTCCTCCAGGACCTTTCTGGTGATATCCATTCTGACAGATGTGAGGGGATATCTCGTTGTGGTTTTGATTTGCATTTGGAGAAGCAGTTTTTGTGGAGTAATCAAGGCAAAGGCCAGGTTGCATAAATGTTTCCAATATTCCCACTTTAATTCCCACTTTCTTGATTGTTTTTAGCTGAAACTATCTGTTGAGCCACTGTCTTCATAGAGTAGTCTAGAATGACTTACAAAGCCTCTTCTGGGAGCACAGAACTCCTCTTCTATAAATGCAGTGTTAATATTGTTTTTAAAAACGTGTTACCTAAGACTCTTTCAAATCAGATCTTATCCAGGTGCTAATATCATTTCCTCAAATGCACTGAAGTGTGACTTTCTTTAAAATATCATCAGCAAACATGCTTCCTAAATGTCTCACCAATGGGGCTTACATTTATTCTAATTGGCATTATATAGGGATGATAAATGAATTCCCTGTCATTGCCAGTTCTTCTTTTACACTCAGTACAGTGGTGCTTTTAAAAAGACCTACTGTTTTAGAAAATATCCTATAGAAAGCTCTTTGGAGTAGTAGGGCCACCTGCATATGAAATTTCTAGGTTAGAATCAGATCCATAGCCACTTTTGTTTCCATCTGCAGAGAATAGTGGTAAGGATGTAAAAGACTCACTGTAAGTAGTAATAATGATTGTCATGATAAAACCTGCAATTGTTATTATTTACATTTTATGTGCTAATTTCTTTCTATGTGTATGTGTGTGTGTTCTTTCCTAATCTTCCCAATGACCCTTAGATGTAGGTGTTGTTATTCTCATTTCATATCTGAGAGAACTGAGGCCCAGAACACTGAAACAAATTGTCTGAGCTTCTTGGCTAATTAAAAGCAGAGCCAGGATGCAAATCAGCTCTTTCTGACTTTCAAAGACCAGGTTCTCTACATGGTCCATGCAGTTTAATGATGTATTTGAGATTAGAGCTTTAACACCCTTTACAGCGACTACTCACCCCAGTTTGGGAGCCCAATGCCTCATTACTTTCTTATCTTTTCCCTCCAACTAGGGAAGAATAGATCACTTTCATTTGCTTAAATGTATTACAATTCTCCACTGTTGATTTTCAGGCACTCTTCTGTATATTTAATTCTTGTATTTATTTAATCTTCACATCAATTATATGAAAGATAGATGTATTCCCTCCCCCAACATTTTACTTTATAACTTTCAAACCTATAGCATTACACTCATATACTCACCACCTATATTCGGCCATTAACATTTTACTATACTTACTTTATTACATATCTATAACCTGTGTATCTATCATCAATTCAACTTATTCTTGATGCATTGAAAAATAAAGACATCTCTACAAATCCCCTAAATACTTAAGCCTGTGTATTATCTACTCTAGCTCAGTGTTTATGTGCAATTTTTTTCTTTTGATGTAAAATTTACATTCAGTGAAATGCTCAAATCTTAGACATTCTCTGAGTTTTGATAAATGCATATACGTACCTGTGTAATCCAAATACCTACCAAGGTAAAAAACAAGACTATTGGTAGGTGTCTCTTTTCATTCCCGCTTTGTACCTGAGGAAACTTGAAACACAGAGAAATAATCTGCCAAAGGCCACACTGCTGATAAGGGGCAGAGCTGGAATTCAGACTCTGGAACTCTGGCTGCAGGGTTTGTGCTCCTAACCACACCACCATACTGCCTGTGGATTATCCCTACATGTTCGGGTATCCTTTTATATTGAGGTGTACAAATTAATTTTTTTTTAATGTGTGTAGACACAGAAGTAGTATGCTTGGGATTAGTGAATGCGGAAATGCTTTTCTAGAAGTGCATTGGTTCCTTACAAGAGGATTATGGCAAGAGATACTAAGAGGGAAAGAAGTTTCCTTTGTCAAAATACTACAGGGACTCTTTGTGTAATAACTATGCCTTAACTGGCATCCTTGATTAATGTTTCTGCATACAAAGTGACAGTCAGTTTCTTAACGATGACTCTGAGGTTCAGGAAAATCCTCAAGTGCCACTTGAACAATTAAAGGTAAATGATGTTCAGTATAGCTTTTGTATTAGGCATACCTTTGCTCTGTTGTAATTAACAAATTGTTCATCTGTGCGTGTTATATATAGTACCATTTGCCTTGATACCTCAGTGTCCAAAATAATAGAAGTAGCCAATTTGGGATTTATAGCTGTGAAATTTGTAAAGTTTTTAACAAAGAAACTGAGCAGAATTCTTGGGCCTTTCTAAAAAAATTGCATAAAAATATGAATCAAGATTGGAATAGATGATATTAACTTTTTTATTTGTAGTACTTAGGTGTACCATCCCTATGAAAAGAAATTGTGTATCTTTCCTGCCTTGTATTCTTACCACAAGCCATGTTTTAAAATTGACAAAGTATGTTTTGATCACTATTGAAATATGAAAAAGCGCTGTCATATATATTGTTTAAAATATCTTAAGTATTATTCAAAAAGCAATATGAAAAATAAATAAAAACATGTAGTTAGCAAAACCTAGCCAGTCACTAGAGGGCAGAGCAGTACTATACTTTGGGCCTGATTTAACAATTTAAAAAATTGTTGAACTTGAAAAAATGTATGATGCACAATTGAATAGAAATTTCTTTGTATTCTTATTATCTTGTCTTGCTGTGAAATCCAATAACATGCTTATTTTACTTGTATAAAAGGAGCTTTTCTGGCAATTACAGAAAATTGATTACAATTGATTGCTTCCAAAAGGGCATGATTATTTAGAAGAGTATCATTATCCCTCAAGAGAAAATACTGTAGCTTACAAAGAGCAGTGCATTAAGTCATTTCTACTATATGTGGTACCCTGAAATAGAATTGTAGTGTAGACTTTAGATGAGACATTGTTAAAGAACAAGGTTTACTACTAGCGTTTAGATCTAAGAACTCATTGAAATTTGGCGCTTTTGATCTTTCAACTGAAATGTGTTGAATCATTAAAACTTTGAAATTATAGTTGTAAAAGCAATGAACTAACTCTAGCTCCTTTTTTAAATGTTAAAATTTTGTTAAGTGCCTATTAACATAATTTCATTTCTGTTTGAAAGTTTCCATTATTCTGCTATATTTTCATTCTGATTTATTTTTCTCTGATAGATTTTTTTAAATAATTTAAGCTCTGAAGTCAAGTATCCTATTGAACCCGAGAAGTTCATTGTCTGAAAAGATAGAACATCTTATCTTGAATGTGCAGTTTGAATTTTATTTTATAAAAATAGTTTGGATTTATATATGATTCATTTCTAGTAGAGAACATAGGATATCAGAAAAAGCACTGGGTTTTGCTTGTAACCTTGGAAAAGTCACATTACATCTCTGAACTACCATTTTCTAATTTGAAGAATTGGAAAAATATTTCCTTATTTACAGCTATGTTGTTTTGAGAATTGTGTTTGTATCTGTGTGTATGTATCTCCAAAGATGCTACCATGTAAAGATGAATTGTAATAAAGATACAAGCTCAGAAAAACCTTAGAAATAACTTCGAAGTGGTTGATTATATCATACATTGAGCACCATGAAGGCATCTCTTCTTGGAGTAAATGATACCAGAAATGTGGTTTCTGACCCAAAACCCAGGTTCAGATTGCTGACCTCCTCCCTGTCTCCGAGTGTCTCTGGCTGCTTAATCTCTCTATAACTCCTGACTCTTTGGCTCTTCTCTCTCTATGCTATCATCTGTTTATTTCCATGTTCCCCTTCTCTGTGTTTCTCCTGACTGTCTTTGGTCTCTCTGTGTTTTTCTTGTCCCAGGCACCCTCAGGAAGACCCCAAGCCTCTAGCAGTACCTGGTTTCATCTCCAGCATGTTTGTAGATGTGGAGGATTCACTGGGATATTGAGAATTACCAGAGGCGAATTGTTCCACTGTAGTAAGTCAATCAGCATTTATTAAGTGACTACTGTTTACAGAGCACAGTTGGTGGTGCTTTCGGTGAAGAAGAATGAGTTAGGGCATAGCTCAGAAGAAATAAACTTGTAAACACTTCTCAGTGGGTCTTGCAGGCTTGGACACATGCCAATGAAAACAAGAAATAAGCTGACAAAATAATTATATAAATGAGTTGTGTTGTATGTTTGCTGAAGAGGCCCAGAGTTAATAGAGTAGAGAAAACCAGGTGGTATTAATCGGGTTTCCTGCGTGAGTTTAAAATTAGGTTTTGAAGTATTATTGGAAGAAATATGAGGAAAAAGAGGGTGGAAGTGAGTAATTTCTGTGGGGCTTGGCAAGCCTGTTTGCTTGCCTGTGAGTGAGTCCCTGATGGGAAGGCAGTGAAATGAGAGTGCTGAGTTTCAGCTTACAACAGCTAACTTTCCTTAAATTCCCAGTCTTAGAGAAATTCAAGGTATGAAAAGAAGTACAGCCAAATTGAGACTTTCCATAAACATACTAGGTATCTGTTGCTGGTTTTAGAATTTATAGATTTGTAAGGGTAAATTGTGATTATGAAGTAATAATGATATACTATGACATAAAATTAATACAAACTATTAAAATATGATCTAGGGATGGATTATAAATGCTAAGATGAATTCATATAGTAAACTGCAGTGTAACATGTCAGTTTTGTGTTTGTTTTGGAAGTTTATTTGTGCTGTTGTATTTTGGGTGATCCTACCTACAGACACACCGGAAGTTGGATATGGTTTGAATCCCACCTCTGTTAACTGTGTAATGTTGGACAATCTACATGACAAAACTGAATCTCCGTTTCTTCCTATGTACACTAAATACGAAAATATTTACCTCAAAGAGTTTTTGTGTGAGTTAAGAGATAATTTTATAAAGTCCTGAGTGCATGCTAGGTACTTGTTACTTGCAGATACTTAAAAAGTAGCTTTAAAATAGGTTGTTAAATATAGTGTGATTTCCGAGAACTTTTTAAAAAGAAAAGTAAACCCATAGTATTTAGAAAATGCTGTATATACAAAGAATATTTATAATATGTGAATAGGATACGGAGACTAACACTAACTGAGTACCTGCCACTAACTTAGGAAACAGAGCTATGCCTGGTCCACATTCCATCACCTCTCTTTAACCACCACCACAACCCTGGATGTTCAGTTAATTACTTCCTTTTTTTTTTTATAGTTTTATAGTTTTTCTTTATAGTTTTATGTATATCCTACATTGTTTTACTTGTTTCTGAATTTTATACAACTAATAATGCTGTATGTTTTCTTTTGCAACACCTATGTTGCCGCTCAGTATGTTTGAGTCATTTATGATCACAGTTGTATTTTCATTGTCTACAATTTATTTATCCACTTTCTTTTGATGGCTATTTAAATTGTTTCCAGTTTTTGTGTTATGAGAGATAAAGCTGCAGAGGAAAAAGGCTTGAGAGTCCTGTTCATGCCTCTTTATGCATATATTATTTCTCTAGGATACGTGTTCAGGGTTGAACTGCTGGGTCAAAGGGTATGTCCAACTGCAAAATCTATAGGACAGTGGCAGATGGATTCCTACAGAACTTTGTTACATTTATCCTCCCTCTAGCTGAGTGTGTTCTTGTTCTGTGTCTACTGTATAGGTCTTTAGAATCATTAAATTTTTGTTTAAAGAATTTTGCAAGTTGCCTATAACACCATTTTTTAACAGTAATCCTGATGAACCTTTTTTCTTAGTTTTATCCTTTGCAGCAGCTATTTTTATTTCTCTTAGTTTTCCAATGGTCACTCATACCTTTTCTTAAACCCAGATAAGTCTAGACATCCTGAAATAGCTGAGTGATGTTTGCTAGCTAAGTTTTTTCTCCCAGGAAAACTACATCATATTAATGCAATATTCTATATTAGATGAAAATTGTCAGCTATTCTTGACTTCTAAAGACAGTTTGGGCAGAGAAATGCACACTTTTTTTACTGATCTGATTTTTTTTCCCCTTAATTTGAGTTGAGATAGAGAAAGAGTGACCCACAGAGGACTGTTTGCAAGCTGTGGTGATTTAACCTGTGTTTTGTTCTGTGTTGCAAAAATCCCAGAAGTTTTACTCAAACGCAACTTGTATTTGCCACTCTTTTCCCTTTTTCGTCCTTCACCTACTTCTGTTTTTCTCAACCATTGGTTCTTTTGGTATCTCATTATACTTGCATGATCCTGTCCAGTTTTTATATCACGGTTCCTCCTAACCTGACAGTTTGTACTCGGTGGTCTGCAATTTTAGTTGATTGACCTCAGTGTGTTGCCTGTTGTCAAAGTTGATAACATTATCTGCCACATTCATTTTCTGAGGTTTTCCAGGGAAGTCTACCAGGCTCTAGTCTAATGCCTAGTACTTATTATTCAATAGATGTTTATTGAATGAAGGAAAGATGTAAATGCAGTAAGGACTGAAATGCCTTTTTCCTGCTCAGCAATAATAATTACCCTAAAAGCAATGGGCAAAAATCGTGCCCTGTAAACAGTTCTGACCATGGGTAGCTTTGTAAACCGTAAGTAGTCATTTCTTCTTGAGCTTCGCTCTGGTATTTTTTTTTTTTTTTTTTTTTTTTTTGGCAAAATGAGAGTGGTAGACGGTGATCTGTAAGAATCCTTTTGACTCCAACCTTTTGTGTTCTGTCTTCAATTGAAATAAAAATAGTTTCTCACAGAATGTCTGGGCACCACTACCAAAGCCTGAGTCCATCTACCTTACTGGGTGTTAGGCCTATAACTGTGTCCCAGCAACTTGCCAGTTATTATCTCTCATAACCCCAGCAAGTGGGGCGAGCATTGAACTTCCCTTCCTCCATTGTTATTTAGATTTGATTTGTTCTAGAAGAAGAATACATTTAGCTTTCTTTGAGAAAATGTAATGAATGCCTTTGGCTTCCCAGTTTCATTCACCAGGCAGCCAGGCATTATTCAGTGTAAATTCTTGAGTCCTGGCCTCTTCTCCTCCTTCTCTTCCTCCAGCCCCACAGCTGTGACCAGGGCAGTTTGTCCTACCCTTGTTACTTGCTGTGCAACTTAACGCTGCGTCTTCTTTCACGCACGAGCTACCATCTTTGAGTCAGCGTTGGTTTTAACTGTTGGTTTTGAGTGTTGTCGATCCTTGAAGTCAATGGGTCTGTCTTCATCTGATGCTGCAGCAAGTTCCTTTCTCCTGTGGTTTCTTTGCTAGGAACCCCTCAACCCAAGGTAAATGGTGAGACCTGAGCTTCCCTTGCTACCTGCACTCCATCTTCCCATAGCTATTGCAGGGACACCCACTCTAAGACGGATTCATGCTATAAACTCTTTCATAGAGTTACCTGACTCTCTGAATTCTCATATGACTGATGTTTCCTGAACCTGTTAGTTGTCCAGAGTTCATTTTGTAAGTACTGCTGAACCCTGTGGATCAAAGGCAAAATAAGCCAGAGAGCAGACTACACGGAGCAAGAGACACAACCTGTCTTAACTTTCTATAACTTGTTAACACTGCCCAATCACTCCTTAGGGCCCTGGCCAGAGAGCTGTCTATTTAATTATTAACCAAGATTAAGGAGGCTCTTTCTTTTATTAAGGAACATAAAATAATCTAAACTTGTTATGATATTGTGAATTTGCTTTATGAAAAATCCCGTGTAAGACAGGCAAATTTTAGGCTAAGGGTGTGTGGGGGAGTACTTTTTAAATGAGGATTTATTTTTAATAACATTAACTTAATTCTACATGGAATTTTAAAAATATTTGTAGTTTTTTTTTTATCATTAAATACTTGTTGAAATACCAGTTGTTAACCTGCCACCTCACCTCCAGCCTCAATACACGTAAAACACCCGAGATTTATTGGACTATCCTGCCATAAGGAGCAAGAAGTCAGGCTACCTAAGACAATTCACCCTTCCTATCTGCTTACTCAACAAAATTCTACAAAAACATATGCCAAATGTATTATCGAAAGAGGCAGTTAATACCATCCTATCTCTAGAAGAATAGATTACTTTTTGTTTCTCAGGAATGTAAGGAGAGAAACATCCTTTTATGCTTATAAGGGAAAAATAGGATAAATTACCTGACATGACTTTGCTGATAGGAGAATGCTTACTTAAACCACTCTTGTATTATGTCTTTGATTAATGTAAAAGGTTTGACCTATTAAGTATTTGCATTAATATTTTAACCTGTCAGTGGTAAGTTTCTTTTGTAGTACTGATTCACTTAGTATTTTATTAATTTAGACAAGCTTGAAAGTGCTTCTGAAAACCTACAGCATTCATTAAGTATTTTAGTTTAATGTCTTTTGAAAAAGAACCATATATTCTCTAATGATTAAGTTGCAGCAAATATTAAAAATACTCCATTGTATTAATAAGTTGGATCATGTTTAAATACAGTAGAAAATTTATAAATGTATATGAACATGTGATACAAAATTTTCCTTTGGGAACTAGGAAATGCATTTTCTACGGACTTTGCCTTGAGTGTGCTTAGCTTGGAAGAGGGATTTTTAAATGCTGAATTAATAAATTTTGAACTCATTTAATTTTTACTCTTGTTTTATGTCTATTACACAGCAAAGTTAGTAAAGATATTTATAAGAATTCAAAGTTGAGCTTCTGTGTACTTAGTCATGTAATTATGCAAAATACAGATTTATCTATATTACTAAAAAGCATCTTATTAAAATAGTTTTCAATAACTCATTCAAATGTAGGTGTTGCTGGAATAGCACTATTCATTTTGTCTAGGAGCTTATATCTGGGTTAAAAAGACAGTGAAATGTTCAAATGGGTCTGTAATTTTGAGGAAAAAGAAATGAGCAATGAATCTTTTTCCAAAGCTAATTCCATTCATTATCTTAGTTGCTAAATCCAGATTTCTAAAAGTCTGACTAGATTTTATTAAATCTGAAAAATAAATGACTGAGTCTTCTTTTATCAAAACAGTAGAACAGAAAGT